CCCACACCAGATGGAAAACTCTACAGACTGTCGGTTCACACCCCATCACAAGCCAGCAAAACATCCACGAAACAAAGAAAGGTCTGTCACAGCCAAAAAATACACTCCAGACACGCCGCTGGCACTAGAGGCACAGCAAAAACCATAGCAGGAAGCTAGCGAAGTCGTAGTATATATCGTCACAAACAGAACTGCCCGGTAAACCGTAGGCAGAGAGAGAGAAGAGGACAACAAACGAGTATATTGTCACATCACTACAAACTAAAAGAGCGCACTTTGCGGAACAAAGAATAAAAGCAAAAAACGGGCACAGTGATAACATGCAAAAATAAAAATAAAAATAAAAACAAAAAGAAAAAACAAGGGCAGATTATATATATCGTCAAATAGAATATATATATATATATCGTCATATATGCACGGACTGGTTCTGGACTCTAAACAGGTCGAGGACTTAGACCAGCCCAGCAGCAGCGACACCAGAGTTGGGAAGGTACCAAACACCGAGACAATTCGGCATGCAATACAGGTTTAAATGGGGGAATGCACTTCACTCCAATGAGCGTTCCGTTGATGAAGCTCCTCGGCCGCTCCAACGCTCCAACGTAGCAGCAACAGGTACATATTTAAGCCACTTCTTCTTAGGCCTTCTTCTTACCCCCTTTGTCAGTCTTCTCCCCACTAAACTCACTCTCTCATCCCCCTTCTCACCGACCTTAATCGTTGCCAGCAATGACCAGTGGGTGCAGCGAGCAACTGCTCCGATACCAGTTTGCAATGAACCTCCTAGTTCAACAACAGTGAGTGCACATATTCACACCACATGCATGTATGAGTTCACACGAAATTCACACCGGAGACCAGAGAGATGAAGACCAGGTAGCGCAGCTTATCTTTTCCAGAAAGTATTACAAGAGCAATAAGAGTTCAAGTCGCCAGCGCTCATCAGGGCGTGCCAATAGGTAACCAATGATCAGCATAAACTCTCAGGTGAGTATCTCATCCCCTCTGCTCTTCCCTCTTATGTATCTCTCCACCTTGCTTGTTTTTTCCCTACCGGTAGCCATGTCCTCGCTGTGTCTTCTCTCCCTACATGCATTCACATCACTATCTACTACTTCATGGATCTACTCTGAATCACCTACTGTCAACTCTACTAACCCCTCTGGAGTCCACTACTAACAACTAGCACTAACACTTCTGCACTGGCGCAGCTATGGCTGCCTTCTCCCTGCCAGCTCTATCTTCCTCTCTCTCCCTCACTTAGCGCAGCACTCTGGCCTCAGCGCTCTGCTCCTCACTTCAGCGCACAAGTGCACCAGCACTTCCACACTTTTTGCGAATGAGCAATCTCCCCGAATGTGAGGCTGGCCGGTCCTTTTGTAGTCTTGGTTTGCACTTCAACTCGTGCCAGCCTCTGTTTCTTGGGTCCTGACTGGTTCCGGTACCACATCCCCACGGCCTGTCTGCTTCTGAATGTCAAGGCCTGGAACCTTCCCGAATTTCCATTGGACTGCTGCTGCTTGGGCCTTTGAGTCATGAAACTCATGACTTTTCACTTGTGAACATGACTTTTGATTGTGGACAGTGACTCCTGCCTGTGGGTCATAACTTTTGCCTGTGATACTGCCTTTTTACTCTTGGGATGTGACTCTACAATATGACTTTTCATTAGGAAACGTGACTCCTGCCTTTGAGACATGACTCTTGCTTGGCGAATCTGCCTGTCACTCGTGGGATGTGACTCTTCTGAATGGCTTTTTATTATGAGACATGACTCTTGTCCCTGAGATGTGATTGTTTGCTGGGGGCCTGTTGGACCAGACTGCTGAGGTACCCTATTGAGACTTTCCTGAGTTTGACGAATTCAGCCTTTTCTTGACCTGGGCATCTGACCCTGAGATCCGAGTTTGGGGTCTGAATCGTGGAAGGCCTTTCAATACTAACTAATTGCAAAATGAAAAACGAAAAAAAACAACAACAGAAAACCTATAAAACAGCAAGGCAAAAGTGGACTTTCATGAATTTTCGCCAACATTCCAATTGCAGAAATCTTGAGAAAATTCAGGAATCTCAGCAGAGGAAATTCCAATGCTCCAAATGATACCAAATTTTGGACCCGTTAGTCAGGAGCTGAAAGTGGGGGTCCCCGTTAACCATTTGTGAGCATAACTTACACTTACTCCAGACAAGAGATGTGAGGAATGTGAGAAATGTAACATCAAAAGATCGATATGAGTTACTGAGCCATGAGACAAAAGAACAGATTCCGATGAAAAAGATGACATGAGTTTTACATATCATGGCGCTATCAATTTCCTCACTACAAATCCTTGATACTACTGACGATCTCAACCCTTCTACTCATACGCCACTCAGATTGAGATACAGATCAATATGCGTTACTGAGCCATGACCGGCTGCTCTCACATCATGCACAGCGGAGAAATGAAAAACCCACAGATGGATTTTCCATGCTGTACTTGGAAAAAAGAGTGTACTCACAACCACAAACCGCTTGGCTCTTGTGAGTGCCACATACATCAGCCTCCGCTGCGCTGGCATCACACCGAAAAACAGACAGAACGACAAACAGACAAACACAACAGCACACATATTGGCCAGGTGGTTATCTTAGGATTCCCCTTCAGTTTCCACGCTATTGACACCACCATTGCTACTCCACATGTGAATAGACACAGCCACAAACAGACAAACACAATAGCACTTAGGAAAGCTCTTCAGTTTCCATACTATTGCCACCATCATTACTTGAAGTTTGACAAAGATGGATTTCATTCGTCAGATGGATTTCACTTGTCCAATAGCGATCTCATGCAGGACAGGAGGGTGGTAAAGATGCCTGATGCAGGACAGGAACGGGACAAGGCCTGTACAATAGGATTGTCAAGGAGTTTGACGACAAAATGCAGCTGGGGCTGCAGGTATGACTAGATGGTGTGTTGCAGCTTCGCCCACAAAGAAAAGGTGGTACACATGGCAGTTGGACGGTATCTGTAGCACCCAGGCCCATTTTGGGTTTGGCCATGGGATGTACTGGTAGCTACCCGTGCACAGCTAAAATTTGGGAAACCTGCCGGAGGCAATTTTTTTTCCTGGACTGTGCTGATCTGGGTTGTAGTGCCCAGGTCCATATGGAAAACTGGCCGCAAGTGTGCAGACCTTTTTCAGGCTATTGATTTTGGCCCAATGTGAGCTAGAGCATATCTGAGCATGGCAACCAGATGGTCACTGAGCTAAATCAGCAGAAAATACAGAAAGATACAAGCATGAGTTACTAGGAAAAGTCTCTTCTATGCTGCCTGCCCTTCCTTTTTGCATCATCCCTTTTGCATTTCGCAATAGCATAATGAAGAGCCCCATAAGAAACTTCAACAAAGAAGCGGAGCACATGCAACCAAAAAATAAGCATGTTGAGTAACCACTGACCAGGTAATAATTACTAATTTACTAGCCATTCCATGATGGTATAAACAACCAACTTCATGCACAATGGAAACTTTGGGAAAGGAGATAGGATCATTATGCATTTCACCGTGTCCACCTCCCGAGTCCCGGTGCCAGAGTCCCGTCCTGGTCCCAGTCCCAGTTGGTTTCAGTAGGTCCCAGCTAGAGGGCCCTACGAGTCCAGTACGGTCTAGGTGTCAAAGTGTTGTAGATCCTTAAGGTCCAACAGTCAGGCGTTTAGAAGTCGTAGGCCCAGTACCCAACAAGAAAAGTCTGCAGTCCCAAGGTCAAATTGAAGCAGCGTCCTGGGAAAGTCCGGTACGCTCCGGAACAGACAATATGCAGCCGACAGGCCACGGCGACTGGTACCGGTCTGAAGCCGACAGCGATTTGCTTGTGCTGCTATTTATAGTTGCTACAGTGCAGCATCGTGTCACTTGTCAATTCGCATGTTGTGGAAGCTCTGCTGTAGTGCTTGTGCGACCAACGGTTGGACAGTCAGGGTTGAAGCATTGGGGAAGAAGGGCGACTAGTGTGCCATAACTAGGGTACACGAGTAGGAAGACGGCGGCCATAGCCGCAAAGGTGGAGGGAGGCGAAGAGATAGCAAGAAGTGAGGATGAGCGCCTGAAGTGCCGAGTGAACATCAGAGAGAGAGAGAGAGAGAGAGAGAGAGAGAGAGAGAGAAGGAGCGATTACCTGGTTTGAGTTGCTGGCGATCGCGACCATAACAGCTTGTATCTGAAAACAATTTTGTTTATTAATAAGGAGTTCGGAGGGCCCTTTCATCTTCTTGTGATTGACTAGTGATTTCGTTGCTTGGTGTGAAACTTCCGTGAGTCTTCTGTGTGTTGCAAGTTGAGTTGGCCATTGACTGCAGTCAGGTTCATTGCAATGAGGGGAAGAAGAAAGAAGAATGTTGAGAGGGAGAAACTGAAGATCAATAGGGAACGAAAGAATTAAGCAGTACGTAGGAGGCAGAGTGCAATGACTTGCTGGTTTCTGGTCGTCTGTAGCCTCTCTCTTGTCGAGGCTGTACTATCTGTAGGGTAGATTCGTTATTGTGTTTGGCTGAGGGCTAACCGAGAGACCTACCTGTAAGGAAAATTCGTGACGGACATAGCTGTAGGAAATTCAGTTAGTACGGGCCTGTATTTTCCCGAATTTATGTCTGACAAATCGAGACTCTGAGTTGCATAAACAGTGTTGATACTGGGTTTGGACTATCATTGCTTCATTGTTTCTTGGATGTGATCTACTCGGCTTTCCTTTATGACTGGTAGTGAGGATTGAGTGGAGTGAATTGCATTTTCAGTGTACCCTGTCATATCGCATGGTCTAGTCTTCCGCTGTGTTTATCTCTCCCTGTGCGGTGTGATACTCCTATCCTCTCCCCTTCCTTCTGTGTATGTACGGGCATACCTGGGAGTCTATGTGAGCGAATGTTGGTCTTCAGACAACAGACAACCAGAATCATAACAAGAGAGTATCAAAAGGAGTGCAATGAAAACTCTTGAAGCCCAAGCGATTCGAACGGGAAATTAAAAATACACATAGAAGATCGCTCCCGGAAACCACCTCCAGGCCAATCAGACTTTGAAGGTGCTAACAGCACCAGAAGATGCCCCACCCAGTAAGCAGTACTCATCGGCCACGCCCGACATGTTTCAATCAGTGCCAACTGCTGGTCATCCTCAGGGTCAATTGCAAGGCATCAAGATAACTTCCTCCACGTCGACGAAGCCTTAAATAGTGATCCGTGAGGAGGACAGAACGACCAGACTGCTAAGGAGAGAGTGTATGCGAGAAACACCGAAACGAAGAGAGAGAGAGAGAGAGAGAGAGAGAGAGAGAGAGAGAGAGAGAGAGAGAGAGAGAGAGAGAGAGANAGAGAGAGAGAGAGAGAGAGAGAGAGAGAGAGAGAGAGAGAGAGGGAGGAAATAAGTGTACTACTTCCTCTACCTTTCCCCCCCCCTCCAACAGGAAGTACCCTTTGACTCCTACATATTGACTCGCGCTCATCACTGAACTGTTAACCATCCTAGAAACTATTGGCCCTTTCAGATCTAACACCTTCCTAAATGCAACTTTTTCATAGTTCTATGCGATATACAACTTCTAGTTGAACCAGTATCTATCATAGCGCCTATACCTATGCCATTAACTTCTGCATCTACAACTATCAATGGTCCTGTCTCTCTGTTTATCGCAGCCCACGACTTGTGAAGAGTGATCAGTTCCTCACCTACGCCTGTAAGGGATCCACTCATAGGGAATCTACAACAAGCAGTCTCTTCTTTAGGCACCGAGTGGGTGGCCTAGTCAACCTCTGCCATGGCCTACGAATGGGGAAGGGATGAATCCCCCAGGCGCGCACTACCTACATTTGCAGCCCCAATAGATGCGGCTGATATTTCTACTGGCCCCCTTCTTTTGTAGGTTGATGCTGGTGCTGCGGCTGCTGCCATATTGGGCAGTCGGGGATAATGTGGCTGTCCTTCCCAAACTTGAAGCATTGGCGATTGTCTTTACGCTGCTGCCACTGACTCTTGCTTCCAGGGCTCGCCCTGCTCGAGTCCTGGGTGCAGAGGATATCTACATGGGCCTCTATAACCTCCTCGCAGTGACTGCTGCTGCCATCCTCCCTTCTGTTGTGGCCAGGATCTGTTCCTACCACCAGATTGTTGTGGCCCTCCCTTACTTACTGGCAGCGGCGTACTCCCCTTCCTGGTACCCGCTTTTGCAGCAATCACCTGTCTCCACCTCATCATAGGTGTAACATGCACAGATATGCAATGTACGTAATAACCGAGGAACTGCAATGTGATGAAAAGGACTGAATGGACAATACAGTGCGAGTAGAATCTCGACAGACAATGTGCATTCTCATACATACAAAA